CCCAAACGAGCGACGCGCGGCCGGGCCGGCACAGGCCCTCCTGAATGGTCGACCCCCGTAGTATCCACAGCATCCGTTGCTGCAGCTTGCCTGAGCTGCCCAGCACTTGCAGTCGAACTCCTCGGCAGCATGGTGGGAAGCGCAGCTGGGCGGACATGCGTGGACAGACGGGGGCCCTGCTAAATGGCTGTCGCGAAGCTCCTGTGAGTCCTCCGTTGCTCGGAGCTTTGAGGACCAAGCTGCCCTAAGCCCTAAGCTAAAGCTTCAGTAGCGCCAGGCCTCACCCAAGCACACCACGGCCCAGCTGAACATCAGCGCTCGCACGATGTGCCCATGAACGGGTGGCCCCTGACAGCGCAAAAAGGCCAGGGAGGTCCGGGAAGCTGCAGCACTCATCTCGGCTAGAAAAAATGCGTCTGGGGCCATGGCCATGATGGCTCCGCTCCTTAGGAACATGTTGCCTTCAAATACCTTGATGGCTGATGTCTTCAAGTCGTATCTCCAGGCCTCAAGGTCGAGACACGGCTTGCGGGGCCCCATCACTCTGGTCCAAAGAGGAGCTGCGGGAGCGAACGTGTGGCTTAACACCAAGAGACCTCAACATGAGCATATAACGACCCTCGCACCCATTCGCACCCCTTCGCGCAAACCCCGCATCGTCTTTTCGAGGAACTCGCATCTGCTTCCGCTCTGATTCGTGCAGGCGCGCGCAGAGGACAAAGTGGGGTTCTCCGCCGTCGAGTCTTCTTGGCATGCCCCAGCTCCTGTCAAAAAGACATTCGCAGTCGCAACTCCTCCATGCTGAATGCCCATGCCTACGAAAACAGCGACGCGAACTTGCAGAGGCCCACCAAATGACCCCTCTGCTTGCAAGCAGATGCACAACGTCTCCATCTTGTTGTTGCCTCCAGCTCTTTGTTGTTCTGTAGACTTGGCATGGGCCGTGAGCCTGCGACAAGAGTAGTGGGAGCGGAGGGCTCAAGTTAACTTAGGGTTGAATACTGTTGGGTGGGTGTTTCGAGGTTAAGGGTATAGGGTGGTGGCATTGGGTTTTGGACGTTTGGGCTCACCTGAGCGGTCTTCACTCTGTCAGGTTAGCTATCAGCTTCTCCACGTCATCCGGCCCGAAGCCAATCGATTCCAGGTAGGACAAGACCCCTCCTGCAGCAGTGGTCATGCAGCAACTGGTGATCGCAGGATTAAGGCGCTGAGAGGCTTGCCTTCTTCATCCAGCATGTTGAGCGTGTACTGGACGATGCCCTCGTAGACCGCGGAGCTCTGCAAAACAGCGAGGCCAACATGTCCAGCATGTTCTGATGAAGGCTACTGGCGACATGATGCACTATGACAAGGCAAGCCGTTAGCTTGTTGATCTTTATTGCGCTGCACTTGCGACATCTTGGGACCAAAGGCCCCCGCAGACCCAAGGCGAAGGTTTTGGGTTCTGTTCTGGGTGGAGACGGTGTTCAGGATTGAACGACGTACTGTAATTTGGACAACCATGTCATGAGTTTTCTTGGCTCCTTTTCAAGATTGCGCCGTCCCTAAAAATGACATCACGTAGTCGCTATAACGGAGGTGGCTACACGCAGCTTGTGCAGTCTTTTAAAAAAACAACACAGACAAATGTGTACATGTGTGTATGTATATGCTCATTCCAAAATGCCACTCATCAAACATGTGTCGTGGTATGCGAGTACTTGGGCGCCGCCTTATGTCCAAGAAAAAAACATTGCTACCTTGTAGGAGAAGAGAAAGTTTTATATTCGCATCTGAAACCCAAATCTACCTGGGAACGCACGAGCGCACCTCTTCACGACAATATAATGCGAAGGTATTCTCTAAGGCGTGTAAGGGTTGACGTTGAATTCCAACAGTCGCGCAGCCAAAGTTGGTATTATATCTCACCCAGGGCCAACATGTTCCAATATGAGGGGAAGAGACTTGGGGTTGAGGGTTGGGGTTGAAAGCTTGGGATTTCGGGAAATCCAACCCCTAGGCCTACAAACCTTTGGGCTTGCGTCTGGTGACCGACTGTCCAGAAAACCCAGATCGTGTAAAATGTGCTAGCGCATTAATGGCGCCGTGCTAGCGCCGGCAACACCCTGTTTTCAAGTATGTATTTTGTCGGTATCGGTTTTATGAGGTTTCCGGGAGAATTCTAAGCAGTTGACAGCGTGTTTACCAGGTGTTGAGGACAGAGGTGGCTCTCAGATTTCGTTCGCCTGCAAGCTTTGCAAAGCTTCTGCAGGCGGACCACTGGCCAGCGCGGAGTCCACGCCCGCGCCATCCAAAGGGCCTTCATTGCCATTTTTTTCGCGATCCTCTTGCTCGGGGCCGTCAGGGCCTCGACTTTGCCACGTCTTCCCCTCCCAGGAGGCATCGAAGCGAAGTGTGGGCAGCGAAGGCCGGAGGCGCCGGAACCGTTCCGGCGCCTCCACTTCCAGCTGCTGCCACCTCGACGCATTCAAAGCTTCTTGCGGAAAACAGCAAGCAGAGGCATCAGAGGCATGGACCATTCGCCTGTAGCCAAGGCGCCAGAGGTGCTGGCCCACCTGGTTGCAAGCATCGATGTGCCGGGCTGCTTGGTTGGTTTTCAAGTAGTCGGCGATAATGATCTCGCGGTCCACGCCCAGGGCGCTTAGGATGAGGCAGCTGAGCCTAGAGTGTCAAGTTTTGGAAGGGAGAAGCCTCCAATCTCAAGGAGTGAGTGGAAAATGCTACTTAAAAGAACCCGCAGCCACGAAGCCAGGCCGCAATCCAGTCCGGTCTTTCCCGGCGACGCAGCCGAAAACCAGTGGAAAGTTGCTTTCCTGCCAAAGACACCGCAACAGCCCCTTCCCAAGTCAACGCTTGGTCACACGGCGTCACAATTTATGCGAGGACAAGACTCAGGCGTTTTGTGGAACTGTCCTCTGCTTTCGCTCAAACACTAACTAGCTTCTAGCTGCCACTAAAAGGGCAACGCCCAAAAAAACAATCTGTGTCTGTTGCGGCACATAGAGAAGCAGCTAAAGGACTTGAACCTGGTCGAAGGACAAGCAGCATCGTTTATGATACCGGACTGCAAAGAAGGTAACTTCAAGTAAGTAAAAGCCAGCTCATCTTCTGCACCACGCAGGCTTCCCAAGTGCATCCTTTGCATATCTTTCCATCGGACCCTTCCTCAGGTGGCCTCAGTGAGGGTTTGTAGAGCCGCGCGGATCTCTGCGGCGTTGACAAAGAGCGCCGCGCGGTTCACCGCTGCCAGGTTGCTGGGCAAGTTGATTTTCCCGGCCATCGCCTGGCCTGAGAAAGCCAGAAACATTCTCCTCAAGCTCGACGCGTCACTTCGGATCATAGTTGCAGCAAGTTACGGCTCGCTCGCTGGAACCACCTTGGATTGCAAGGAATGCACAAGTGCCTGGGGCACAACAGAACTCGAGTGGACCCTGTCTCAGTCTAACCATGCCAAGCCACCACGACGTCCACGCCTGAGAAACAAGCTTTCGAAGCTGTAGCAGCTGCAAAATGAGGAGCATTGCGAAGCGACCAGACGCAGGAAGGGAACATACTTTCAAGTCGCCTGTCGTTTTCGTGGCCTGCTAATGGAGACTGAACCGAAGACAAAGCGCCTAGAGGAGCTGCCGCTACAGAGTCAGGAGGCTTTACGTCTCTGTGTGCCTTGGTGTCGCTCTCGGGCACGAGCCCGGCTTTCTCGTCCGGCGTCCAAGGTCGCAAGCGGAGGTCCTTGAGCAGGGCAGGAGTTAGGGAAACTGGAGAGGAAGGGTGTTCGAAAAAGGCACGGCAAGGCTCCTTCGTAAATGGGCACCACACCCGACGGCCTACGGGGCTCTGAAGGGAAGAGAACGAGTGACGGATAAAGGCGGCCCGGGCCTGGAGCCTGTGTGGCACTTTGACTGCCTTTGCCTTCTTGACGCTCCTTTGGGCTCGGTGGGAAGAGCTGCGTGTAGACGGGAGCATCTGCGCCCTCGAAGTCGGTGCCCTCCCTCAGGTCCACCTGCCAGAGCATCCCCGGCACTTTCTCCTCTCTCCACTCTTCGCGTGGTTGTGGGCCCAGATTGGACATGTTCTTACTTGCATCATGTGAACTCTTCTTCTTCTTCTTCTACAGGGCCTGAACCCGAATCTTCCTTCCTTCCCAGGAGGGCATGCTCCCGAGCAATCCAGTTTGAGTGAAAGACAGCATGAACGCGTGGGGGTTCCCCTCGTTTTGAAGTTTCCTCCCCTGTGCGTGTTAATGTATTTGTATGCTGGAGTACTCTCCATACCCAGCAGCCTATGGGTCGAGCTGCATGATTTTCAGTGCTCCTCGCCACTGCGAAGACTATGATCCCCTGCTCTAGGTTGCTGGGGAAAGGGACCAGGATGAGCCCCCGAATCTCTCTCTTTCTTTCTTTCCTTCTTTCTTCCTTCCTTCCTTCCTTCTTTATTTCTTCCTCTCTTTCTCTCTTAGACAGGCCCAGCCACATACGTTCGAAGCCGCAGCTTCGCGAGCGTGGCCTAAGACAAACGGCCCTTCTGCTGTCCAAAGGCATGTGCTCACTGCTTCCCTTCTGCCCTCGACAAACAGGCAGATGCCTCTGGGCTTATTTGGGCTCCAGGCCAGGTCCTCCTCTGTGGCAGCTGCAAAGTGTCCAGAGCGAAAAAGCCAGTTCCGTCGCAGTGTGCGGCCACCGCGGCACCGCAACGGTGTCCCAGGGCCCAGCGCATCTGCTACATCCCGAAAGTTGGCCACACCTTAGTGCGAGAGATTTTGAAAGTATAGGGAAAAACGAGAGGAAACAAAAAGAGGTTAGAGCGGCACACACAGCAGCAAGAAATGCAAGCCGGAGTGCGGCGGAGATCGTACCAGGAGGCCCAGCCGCAGCTAGGCAAAACATCCATGGAGATGTGCGGCAATGGCGTCCCGCTGCTATCAGGAGGCAGTAGTGCTGACGAAGGATCATCGACCCTCTCCAGCAGCTGTCTGCTCTGAACTTTTTGCGAAACCCAGCCCTGCAAGGGCCCCTTGCCCCGCAGCAGTCGGAACCGAAGTCGTGAGCCGGCCTCACATCAAGAAACCGGTACACCGAGGCTGATCTTTGCGGTTTCATGTTTTTGTTGCCTAAATGGTTTGTCTATCTTTTGAGTGTCTTCGATTCGATGCATTTTGTACTTAAAGCCTCCGGGCCTCAGCTTCAGCGAGTACTAGCGCCCCGAAACTCAAACGTCCAAGTACGGTGCTGGAGAGGCCCTGCTCCGAACGAACCAGAATGCCATCACTGCCGTCGCCCTGGAGGACCCGCCACACCCTAGGCGGGCTGGCCGAGCCCTCCATCGCCCAGCCAGACCAAAGCCATCAGAGCCACGGCCATGACGATTACTGTAGCGCTTGAGCCGTGCAACACGAAGTATGGGCAATTGACATTGAAAGTTGGCAACTCCTCAATACAGCTCTCCGAAGCTGTGGCAGTAGGCTAATCAACTCCAATGGCCAAAGCCGTGGGTGCTCAGGTCATGAGCAATACACGGTGACTGCTGGAGCTTCAAGATTCCTATTTTGCGTCACGTAGGCTCGTCGGAACACTCTTCGGAGCTCTCGCATTCGCAGGGGCAAAGAGAGCTCATGCCCCGCTTCAAGACCCATCGGATGGTGCCCGAGTCCTTTGCTTGCCTGGGCACCACCAGCATGGGTGGCTTCGCCTCAGGAATGCACTCAGCTGCCACGTTTCAGCGCATCTTGCCACGAGTGCTTTTAGCGGGGTCGCATGAAGCAATGAAGCAGTTGGATCTTCCAAGACATCATGTCGTAGTCTGAGTCTGCATCATCGACTTGAATTTTGGGCGAGCTGTCCTTTACTTTCTTTCTCAGATGAATGCTCTAGTCCTGGCATGCGTGGGGTAGTTGAACCTGATAGCTCCAAAGGGCACAACTGGGGCGACACAATGGGCGGATGGCCCAGGTTGGCAACGCCAAGCTTTAAATATCCTTAACTTTTTTTAGAGTTGGGGTTCGTTACTCTGTGTTCGGGGCGGTGGTGCCTTAACGCTCTACAATCGGACACGGGATCAGATGCTCCAATGCTCGTGTGGGACTGGGCTGGCTCGGACCCGGGCTAGGCAGGCGTAGCCTGTAAACCAGGATACGCCTGCGAACAGCACGGCCACCTGAGAGAATGCGCTGGTTAAACGCTAACTGTGCTGGACTCTGCTCGACAAACCAAGCATGAGTCCAAAGAGAGCTTTTGGGGAATAAAATCCAGGAGGTATGCGCGGCACAGAGCGCCAACCCTGAAGACATTTCAAAACACTGTCGCCCCTCAAGCAACTGGGTAAGTGCCGTGCCCAGGTGACTTGCCTGCAAAGTGGGAATGCGGATTATCATGGCAGGTCCGGATTCGTGGGCTTGCTAGCACTCCGACATCATCTACCGATATGTAAAGCAGGTCGCTGCAGTGTCAAATTAGCTTGCAAGCTCGTTGTGGCCCCTAAGTTGGTCTGAAAACCCGTGTGACTAGGCCTGGGCAATTTCAGGGTAGGGAGTATATGCGAGCGTGACATGTGCGGATGTGAACTCCGAACCTGTGCCGCTTTGCTCTCAATACATGTCAAAGTATATACTTCTTTCTGTGTGTCTTTCTTTCGAGGGCTCTCTTTGTTTCATGGCGCCAGGGACCTCGATCTCTCCCGTTTTTCATTCTTTATGTCTGTTGCGTCATCTCTCTCTCTCTCTCTCTCTGCCTCTCTCTCTCTCTCTCCCCTGCACGCGTAGCCCCCCCGAAGGGAAGGCCGCCCCAAGGGGCGCGCGAAGTCCGATGGTCCGTTATCTCTCTCTCTCTCTCTCTCTGGGGAAGCTGCAGCCCTTTCGTCGTGCTTGAAAGCCACTGTTGGAGATGTAGTTTTTGCCACGGATGCTTCCTATGTGTTTTTGCGTGCCAAGCGATTGTTTGCTGGTGGCCCTGTGGTTGCCACCAGTCACCCGAGTTTGTGGCAAGAAATTTCGACTGCTGGCAGTAACCGTCGTGTTAAGGTGCTGAAAGTGAAGGCTCACCTGTCGCAGGAAGCTTTCCTCACCAAATATGGCCAGGAGCATCTCTGGATGCATAAAGCCAACTCTGTGGCTAATGAGCTGAACTCTGCTCGTGCAAGCACCCTTGTCCATGCGCAAAGTGATATTTTGCATCGTTGGGCCGATGGGCGAGCTCAGAAGTTGTTGTCTTTCCAAGTTGCGGTGCTCCGGAGTGTCCAGGACCAAATGCCGAAAAGGCCGAAGAAGGCAAAGGCTGCTCACAGTCCGAAGCCAAAACCTTGGTTGCTGATCGTGAGAAGAGCCATTTTTGGAAGTTAAGCAAAGCTAGGGCTGAGTGTACTCGTTGTGATGGCCTTAAGCTGTCACGCGCGCTCACCCTGGAACGAGCACAGATACTCAGTAGCCGCCAATGTGTTGCTTGGGGAGGCCCAAGGGCGCTTCAGGATTGGCATGTCGACCCCTCTCATGTTTTTGAGTTCCATGAACGGCGGTGGAGCTGCAGGAAGTGCTGCAAGCGAGGTCCCCTGAATCTCTGCCGGCGCTGGCAGTCTCTTTGTAGGTAGGTTAGTTGCTGCTGACAGCTTTGCTGTGTTTGTTCGGAAAAATCTCTCTCTCTCTCTCTCCGTACTTGGCCTGGACAAGGAAAAAAGAAACATGAGCGCTGAGTCGCTCGCAAGCCAAGCTGGAGGTTTGCCACGTCCGAGATATGGCCGATGATCGGGGGGCCTCGAAGCAGATCAAGCAGCCCCAAGTTCACGGTTTGCTTGGCCACGTGTATACGAGGATGATGCTGATCACGTCGCCAAGGGCATGCCCCAGCAAGATCTGCAGGCTCGACCCCCGCGCACGGCTGTGCACAGGAATGACAGACCTGCATTTCAAAGTGAGAAAAGAAAGTAGTCGACAATTACAGGTGGGCAAATCCAGGATCACCGAGCCCTTGACATGGAGAGGGCAGCGATGGGCGCCTGTGCAAGCACGCAGGCCCTGGGAGAAGGCGCCTTGTAACTTTGCCGTTAACCTTATTATAATCATCAACATAGTGACCAATATGGCCCATAATCAAAGAAAGCCGCTAGAGTGCCTGGTAGCAGAAGAAGAATGTCTGCCCGAGCACTAGGCTGAGCACGAGCACCCACGGCTCCAGGACGTTCACGCCCGCTGCGATCAGGACGGTCCCTGGCACCTCAAGGATCGTGGGGAGAGGTAGCAGATGCACAGAGAGCTTGTTGCAAAGGCCCGTACCATGAAGCAGGCTGGCACCAGGAAATAAGCCTTGCTGCCAAGGGCTGGGTACCTCCAACAAAGCAGGGCAATAAGATGCCATAAGCCACACAGGCATTGCAACGGCCAAGCAGCATCTTAACCTTGTGCGGCATGTCACCCAGCCCCTCGCTCCCCTTGCCATGCGCCTGCGTGCCACGCTGTCTGCAACCTCGCGATGACAACGGGACTAGTTGCAAAGGCTAGAGGGCAAGCGGGCCACCAAGCAACTTGCGCTAATATTGAAACAACATGAAACAAAAAAGGTAGGCTTGCCAGATGGACTCAGCTAATCCGAGCATCAGTTTAATTAATGCCCCCACATTTAAAAAAAATTTTATTGGCCGGAAGCCCGCCGGAAGACTACTTTCCATTAGGGTGGATTTCGTATGGGACAAACCCCCCACATTTAAAGGATTTTTTTTTTGGGGGGTTGCAAAATTTCGAAACTAAAGCTTTTTTTGCTTCTGCAGGAAAAGATCGATGTGAAACATCCGCTAAGGCTGCACCTCTCTCCCTGGCTCTGGAAGCTGAGGGCCTTCAGAAACCAAGGATTTCTTATGTGATTGCTTACTGGAGGAGAGAAATTTTCATTCTTTCCTGAGCTACCCCTTACGGGCTCTGGCCGGGAAAGGCGGAGTCACATTTATAGAATGGGGCCAGAATTATGGGAAGCCCCGGCCCGCGGGGGCGAGCCCTGGTCTTGTAGTCTTTAAAGAAGCCTTGAAGCTTAAAAGGAAAAGCTTTAAGGAAGCCGGGGCTTCGGTTTTCTGGAAGCTGAGGGCCTTCAGAAACCAAGGATTTCTTATGTGATTGCTTACTGGAGGAGAGAAATTTTCATTCTTTCCTGAGCTACCCCTTACGGGCTCTGGCCGGGAAAGGCGGAGTCACATTTATAGAATGGGACCAGAATTATGGGAAGCCCCGGCCCGCGGGGGTAGACATTCTATACATTCCTATTGTTTTCAATACATTCGTATTGTTTTTATAGAGAATCAATACAGGGCCACGGTCCAACTATTGCGGAACCCTGCATTCCTTATTGTGGGGGGGGGGGGGGGGGGGGGGGGGGGGGGCCCCCCACCAATTAATCAGAAGCTCGGATTAGTCAGGAGTCTTCCAGGTCCACGAGCCCGGACTTGGAGTTTTGGAGTTCGGATGCGCTTAGGTGTCCGATTTGCCACATCTCTGGGCGCGCCTTTGAGCCCAGGATGGTGCCGCCGAAGCCGCTGATAACGCAGCTGCCACTTAGGACGAGCCCGGACCTCTAGACTTGAGAATTTCACTCAGGAAGGAGAGGAGTGAAGAGCGCTTGAATGTGCGTGTCAGGTGGAATGTGCATCCAGGAGGGGGAAACTCCTGAGTGTCTGACGTGCCCATGGAGAGGTCGGTGTAACGCACCAGGAAGGTTGGGTACCACTCCGTCAGCCCTGGACATGGGCATTGCAGAGCCTACAATGTCTCCATCGTTCTTCACCTAGATTCACGACAGGAGAAGAACTTTTTTTGTGGGAGGGGGGGAGGGTGGTGGGGGCAGCGATGACTTCCTCCACGCACCTCCCACCGCGAAAGAGATGGCCACGCTGCCGAGAGTGCAATACAGGAAGAAGGGGTTGGACAGGAGCGCCGCACCCTGGAAAGCAGCAAAAAAAGGAAGGTGCACTCTGCTCTCCGTAGCCCGTGATACCCCTTGAAAGCATGTCAACTCACAGGGGTCCTCCCGCAAAAAGTCAACGCACGGGGCAATGCTCGCCGATGCGGTTGACTCGTCGCTGTCCTCGTCGGTGCTGTCCTGACTCTGCCCCACAAGCTCTCTTTTCGCTCTGATTGTTTTTTCGGGATTTGCCTCAGCCTCCTCGTGGAGTGGATCCTGCCAGTACCAAGCACCACCAGAACCACCTCAGTACAAGGTCGCCGTGGCCTCCAGGTCGTCATTGATGCCCCTGACGGGGTCCTTCAGAGAGAAGAGAGGTTCTGCGAATGCGTCTTTGCAATCACAAATCTGCGCCCCCCGCATTCAAGAGGAGAACCGTGAAAGCCTGGGCATGGACGGGAGGGCTTCTTTATCCCTAGTTTTGTGGAGGCCGTTTGCTGAGCTCAGCTGCCACTACCACCCCTGGGAAACCGCAGGCAAAGAAAGCCACGCGCCAGCCTGAATCACAAAAAGCTGTCCTCACACCAACAAAACTCAGCCTAACCCAAAGAGTCCCCCGGAAGTCATCTCAGATGACTCCCTCCCTACTGATCTGAGGGCCCCTCCCATCTTCTCCCCGAGCACGGAACCAATGCCAAAGCCCAAGGCCGCGCCCACCGGCGCGCCTCAAAATCAATAAATGAAGAACTACACTGTCTATATATACACTTATGTATAAGCTCATTTAGGTTATGAGTACTAGCCCGTGAACGGCATGGTGTTTTTGTCCAGTCCGATGTTTTGTGGGGTAACTGGTACTGTAGTGGTGCCGTAGGTCTCGCCCTTCCTTGTGCAGAGCCGTAAGTAAAACCTTGTACGAAGATCTGGGCTTCACTGGAATTTCATGCTGAACTTCGCCGGCGTCATAAGCCATGAGCAAACTCAGACCCGTGGGCAGGGTCTTTCCACCCCAAACCCTAAACCCTAAACCCTAAACCCTAAACCCTAAACCCTAAACCCTAAACCCAGGGGCGCGGCTAAGGCTGAAGATGGTGAAGGCCCGGTTCCGCTGCGGTCCTCAGCGCCCACACACATGTGCCTCTCACGTGGGACGTGGGGGTTCCTCGGCCTGACCCAGGCGGAGTCAAACATTGTCTATTGTCTTTTTATAAATTAACTAAATAAACCACAAACAATATACATACGTATATGCACATTGTTATATTATACTATTTATTCACTTATATTAACCATTTACATAACAACTATAATTGTCTTTCGGGCTTTCAGAACGTGACACTGCATGCCAATGCACTGATGTGGACTTTGTTGTCTTGACCTCAGATTCTCTGAGTACCGGGCCTGGGTAGAAGTCAGTGATCATTGGCGAGGCCACAGTCGCAAATGCTGCCTCGCCAAGTGGACGAGTGAGAGCCAGGGAGGAAAAGGAATGAGGTGCCGCAAGGGCTGCTTGCAAAGGGGAAACTGACCCGTGAGTCTGTGAGGGGCCTCCCCAACACCGACAAGGGCACGAAAGAGCACCAGGTGCGTGAGGTCCTGTGCGAATTGCAATTATTATCGCAGAGAAGGAGGAGCCAAGGAGAAAGAGAGAGAGAGCTTGCTTACAGTATTTTGCGGTACTGTCGGAGGTGGAAACGCACGAAGGGCACGAGAAAATATGAGAAATTAACATATAATGGCTCAGTCCTGCGCGAAGCCCCCCAGCGCCGTGGCAAAGGACCAGAAGGCGATGCCGCCTGCAAGTAGAAGCCTCCAGAAAAAAAGGAAAGGGCATGGAAAGCAGAGGATCATCTGCGCCTTCCTTGCTGGCCTCCTGTCCAAGCATTCCCGGTCCGCCAGGATTCCGAACACGAGGCTGCAAACCGTAAAGACCTCACTTAGAGAAGGAGGCGGCATGCTGCGGCGTGTCTGCTCATCTTGGCCTCCCGGCACCCGTCATGGCCACGGCAGGCAGTGCGCTTTCCCAGTCGTTCAACTCCAGCTCCTTTTGGATCTGCGGCTTCACCGATGCTGGCCTGGGCAGTGAGTCCTTGTGGGCCCATGTCGGCTATTTGACATTCTGCTGGGTTCAGACATTCAGGTTGGGGTACTGCAGCTCTTGAACGTCGTTGTTGGGGGTGCCCCTTACAGGCACACAAGTCTTATCAAGGCATATGACGAACCCTCCAGGCTCCGTCCGAACCATATCTTCGTGGAGGCCTATGTCTATCAACTGAAACTGGAAGAATTATTTGCCAAGAAATAGGGCTTGTAAAGGCTTAAGGCCGAGCGTGCGATTAAAATACCAGGGCCTCTGATGCGCAACAAATCGGTGCAAAATAGTAAGTTGATGCGGGATTACTAGATTGGAGTTCATAGAGAGGAGGTTGTGAGCTTCAGGTGTGGTCAGAAAGCCAAGGGGCACGTAGCGGTCAGCAAAGTTCAGAGCATTGATACCTCATTTGTGCGACGCGCACGGGCCATGGCTGTACGCGAATGCCTTTCCGGTTTTGTAAGACCCACGGGATCCAGAGGCCCAAGCAGGAGAGTGTGAAGAGAGCCCTGCGTGAGCCGGGTTGTCCTCGGCACGGCCCAATGGCACTTGGAACGAGTTCCACGCATTTGTCGAAGATCAGCGGCATTTAGCTTTGGGTCCGTTGTCCCTGGGCTGCGGGCGCTCACCCGCCGTGCCAATCACTGGTGGCCTCAACGATTCCGGCCGGCACTAAGATTCAGAAGCTCTAGCGCTCACCCTGTCAACTTTGAAAACCTTGTCGTTGATTCATGAGCCTTGATTGAGCGAATGCTTATTACCTGCTTCACATCTCGACCGTAGGAATTTTGTCCAGAACCAAATTCACCCCTAGCCCCTATTCTCTTGCATGGCGGTTCTTTAGAAATTGCCATCACGCCTCAGCAGACGGCAGCATTCCATCACAGGGTGCTGCACGAACTAAGAAGTTTGGTGCCAGGCGGCATCACTAATTAGCTGAGCCAGGCGCAACAATGCAGAAGCAACCGCTATCGAACAACGAATCTCGCACGACCACATAACATGGCACACCTGCTTCCTGCCAAAAATCTTCAGGTGAATATAATACGCTGCATTGAATTATGAGGGATGAGACCCAACTTTCACAGGGTGGGGCCCTCGGTACCTCGATCTTATCGATCTTGCCCTGGGACTGCTGTGTGCACCATCTGCAGAAAACAGCAAGGTCCATTAGTTGCAGTAGTTACAGTACTCGCTTGGCGGCTTGTTGCACTGGTCGGGAGCTAACATGTCAGTGTTTTCCGGACATTCCTACGTAGACTGCAGCGTCTCGTCAAGCAAAAATGCGCATCTGGCAGACATCTTTTGCGACGAAGGTGGTCGAAAGTTGATGCCGCTGATGGATCCACATTTCTGCGGATGCCCAGCCAATTTTTAGCATGTCAGCAAACATCAGCGTCAATGTGTCCGGAGGAGTCCATTACTGCGCAGCTTCAGAAGTGCTGCTGGGCGGCATGGCCTGAGGATAATTCGTCCGAACGTGTGCCCATCACAAAGCCACCAGCCTTCAAACCCTTCTGCCTCCGAGGTCTTCTGGAGGGCCTCACTCCAAACTTCGGCTGGAAGAATGCTGGAAGTGAAGTCTGCAGAGAAGTATCTGACGTGCCTCAATGACATACCGGCGATTCATGGCTTTCTCTGCTCCGCTCATTTGGTCCTGGAGCTATCTCAGGCCACACGAAGCAAGCTGATCATGTCACCGTGCTGTTCATGTCCTCCACAGAATTCTGCGCAGTCTGCTTGGATTTCATTTGGCCCTCCAGGTCCAATCGATACCTCATGACCGCCATCATAACTTGCTCCAACCAATGACTCTGGACTGACTCAGGGTCTGGCTGCAGGTATTTCTTTCGCCGCTCGTACATCTTATTGTTTTCTGTTGCGCGGTGCTCATCAGCTGCGGCCTGAGTGGTGGGATGGAACTGGATGGTTTCAAGCTACGCAGCAACGCTTGCATTGACGAGCCGTGCCTGAGCTGCGGCTTTCAAGCCACCTTTCTGCTCTTGCATCAGCCTCTTCTGCTGATCCTGGTCTGCCGTGGAGCCACTGCGGTTTTCTGAGCAAACGCCAACAATGCAACCGGTCCCTTTCCGCAATCTGCTGGAACAGAAAGTCCTGCGGAAAGCTGAATGCTGTTTGTCATACTTGGCAAATTCGTGGGTGGGAGAAAGGAAACATCTGGAAGATGTTCGAAAACGCACCGAAAACTGCGGACACAAACCGCGGTGTCGACGGCGCGAGAGAAGCAACGTTTACACTTTACACAAAGAAACCGGTGCATATAGAGAGAGAGAGAGAGTCAGCCCCCAAACAAAGGCGAGCACTGGAGGTGGAAGGTGCGAGTTGACCAGACAGTGCTGCAAACAATGGCGGAGCTGCGTGTTTCCCCCCTCCCCCCCGCCCGCACCTTCCCACCCACCCGGCCCCCGATAGAAAGGGCACACCACGGCGGCGAAAGGCGCGGCTGCCTCAAGCTACCAGCCCGTTCCTCCTGCAACCCTTGCTTGGCAAACAACCGCACCATCTTTGCCTTAAAAGTCCGGCAAAACTCGTTTCATCTCGCAATCCTGAATGATACGAAAGAATAGCTGCCCAATGCAGCTCCTGGGGTAGCAGTGAGCCAACTCTTCTCGCACGCTCGGAAACCAAAAACTCATGCGATGCGACGGCCACCGCATGGTATGCGAGGGAGGCTTCGGGCCGGCCCGAGCAACCCTGAGCGAACAGCTGCGGGTAAACTAGTTCAGTAAGGCTTGGGGCAGCAGGTTGCAAACCCTAATTTCGCGATGTTGACGCCCACGGCTGCCTGGAGACCGGGATTCGTCTTTGAAATTCATTCATACTTAGCATACTTATTGAACCTCACTCACTCGGATAGTCGATCCACAGGAACATCTCAAAGGCGCGAAGCAAGGCTTTGCATTTAAATCATGTCGACCTATTCGAACTGAATCCTGGCCTGGCTGCACATTCTAGAACAAGCTGCATGCATGGGCAAGCCTGATTCTTCCGTCGTTCCATTTTCAACTTGGCTTGCTTAGTCATGTCGGCCTGCACAGGCGAATGGCCCTAGTGACCCTGACTTGTCCCACACGAGGAATGCTCAAAGGGCAACTGCAATCTACATCCAGCCTGTTCTGCCCGGGCAACTGCTTCATTGTGTATCCGCATGACAATGTCCTGGTCATAGTACAACTCCTCAGTGGCGAGTGGCGGGCTATGGCCCGCTCCCACTGCACAAATGCTGTCCTGTGGTGATGAAGCTGGTAAAGGAAAACTTGCACCCACGTCCACCAAACTGGGGTTCCCCCCCCCGCTCCCCTATGTCCGATCAGTACTTCCAAGCAACGGGTGAGCTTCCAAGGATACTCGGCTGGACGCTTTGCGAAATTTTTCTGGGGTGCTGCGGGCTTGTCTTGGCTTCCAATATCATGGGGTATATTCAAGAAGGCCAAGCGGCTTCTCCTTTCTTTTTCACCCTCGGCGGAAGTGCAGGAGCCTGATCTCGGATTTTGGGTTTCGTCTCCTTTTTCCGGGCCTGCAAGCGCCCATGTATCGTTGTGCTGGCACAAAAAAGGTGATGAGGATTGCAGCATGGGATTCTCAGCTACAAGTATGCCAAGCACAACGTGTGCCTCCTGCTTGTCCAAGAGCTCGGCCTGAACATGTTGCCGCGTCTCTGTCCACTCTCCTCAAATTCCGTGCCATTCCTGTGTTTTCTGAGGAAGCAGCGTACTCTTGCAGCGCGTGCTTCTCTTCTTGGATTCGCCGCTGTCGAGCTTGGCTCCGCTTCTCTTGGTCCTGGTGACGAAATTTGCCAGCAGTTGGGGGCTCACTCGTTTTTTCGATCTGAGACTGCTCCGAAGGGATCCTCTCCAACTTCCTGAACCAAGGCTTGCTGGGCACGCTTTGTCAGCTCCCTTTTGGCCTGGCATCTTCATATCGCATGCCCAAAAGCCAAAATCGTGCTTCCCTGGCCTGTGCAGCCTTTTTTTCCGACTCGATTTCCTGCTCCGCGCGTCGTACAAGGCGTCGGTCCTGCATCGCCGGACGCACCGCCACCACACATCCACCAACAAATGAGCAACACAGTAACTATGTCACTATGTATAGTTGTATATTATTAGTATGTTTTTTCTATACAGAGCATACATACATATGCTCACTCACTCACTCACTCACTGATGGCATCCGGACGAACGATCCCATATATATATATATATAAACAAATAAATAAACAAATAGATTGTGTACTTGCATATACGTATATGTATATATATATACATACACACACACACACATATATATATATTTAAACATCTCCTCTTCAAGCTTTTGTTCTCTTTCGGCTTCTCGTTTGCGAGACACTTCCTCCTGACAATGAACTTGGAGAGAATAGCAGCATTGCTTCACGCCTCTGGCTGTGCACTGAGATGCCGGCGGATTGAACTTCTCGATCGCGAACGACCTCGGAGCTGAACACACCGTGCACGGAGGACAGTGGAACATGGAAACTCTGTCTCTCTGGGTCAGCCCTTACAGCAACCCGGAGGCCAGTGATAAGAATAACAAAAGGTTATAAAGCATCATGTCCTGCTGATATGTTTATCACCCAATTACTTCCCAAAAACCGAAAGCACCGTAATCTTGTTCCTACTATTCAGTTGCCAGTACAGCCGTGAACCTTTTTTTCCACGACCGATCGTGGAAAACCTTGCAAGCATCGGCAACATGACCCGAAATCCTCTGCCTGCTGCACCTTTCGGAGGCGCTCTTCAGCTTGCACCTGGTTTACGGTTTAGGGTTTCCCAAGCTGGCTGTATTGCAGATGGAACTTGGGTTGACACATTCTGAGGGAATACGGTGTATGCTAGCAGCCGTTAGCAATTCAGACTCTGGCTGATTGGTCGCGTCTCCACCGCTCCAACTCGGCCTCTGCATGTGCAGCGTTCTTTTCGCTCATTTTCGCCAACCGAAGTTCCCTTCAAATCTTGGGCACGAGAGGACCTTGTACTGGTGACCATCAAAATCCATCAAACCGAATCATCGCGCGACTGCCCCCTTCCCGCTACAATCCATGCTTGAGGCCTGCCTTTTTGCCTTTTCAAAACTATAAAGTAGGAACCCAAGCGAACATGCATGCACTTCCACAACCTCAGCAGCTTGAGTCAGAAACTGCTGTGCTGCCAGGCCTGCTGCACTTCGAAAAGTCTTTGTTCCTTGTGCTGGCGAGGTGAAGTGTCGCCAAATGCAAGTGTGTGTGTGAGAGAGAGAGACAGACAGCTTGCCAAGGGTGCCGCGTGCTCTGCTGCTTTCATCTTGGCGGAGGTCTCGGCACGGTGGGACGCATGTGGCAGTCAACGATCGAGCACACGCCCCTTTTGCTTCTCAAAGCTTGCGTAGACAACCCTCTGCACCTTCTGATCTATTTGCCGTTGCAAGAAGTCCTGCATCTCCTGAAGTCAAGTAGAGAATCTATCGAGGGAGGTCGTTGGTGAGCCGACGGTTGCCCACATCGATGACCCAGGCACGCAGTATTGGCTAGGAGCACAGTGCCAACAAGAACAATGCAGTACTGGATACGAGGACATCGCAAAAACAAAACGTGGCCTTTTGTGCAACTTTCTTGGCTTGCTTTTTGCGCACCTGCACAAATGGGATGCCCGGTATCATACGGTATCATCGGATCAACAGCACACAAATTTCTCACTTGGAACGGGACAATGAAGGTGCCACTGAGTATGGAACCTCTTCAAGCTGCGCTTCTTTGACAGCAAGTTTCGCCACCTTCGAGCATCCAAGCAAGATCGGACACAGTCGTCTGGCAAATTTTTTCGTCGGTTAACAAGCCAGATTTTTCAGTGCTTGGGCTACTTCATGCCACTAGACACCGATTATCCCGAAAGCCATCAGTGCGAAGATATCAACTGACACGTAGAGTTGGTTGTGTTGTCAGTGCGGTGATCGTGGTGTGGTGTAGTAGGATAGGAAGCAGGTGTCGCGTCGACAGCGAAAAGGACCCAGCATGCAAAAGTCCCACATGGCCTGAGGCGCCTGCTGCCATGTTGTGAACAGATCAAAGCATAGCTCTGCATGAGCGCAGGACAAGATGTCATCCGCAATGATTGCGCGCCCACACGAGAGCCGTCGCGCTATTTGCTGCGCCGTTTTCGAAGCTCCAGAGTTCCGCGCCCACGAGGTTTTCGAAGCCCCAGAGTTCCGCGCCCACGGTATTTGCGATGTTTTCGAAGCCCCATGAGTTCCGCGCCCACGGTATTTGCGACGTTTTCGAAGCCCCAAAGTTCCGCGCCCACGGTATTTGCGAGGTTTTCGAAGCCCAGAGTTGCGTGCCCACGGTGTTTGTGACGTTTTCAAAGCCCCAGAGATCCGCGCCCACGGTTTTTGTGACGTTTTCTATCTCCCAGAGTTCCGCGCCTGCGGCATTTGCGACGTTTTCGAAGCCCCAGAGTTCCGCGCCCACGGTATTTGCGAGGTTCTCGACGCCCCAGAGTTCCGCGCCCACGGTATTTACGACGTGTTCGAAGCCCCATCTGCAGAGTTCCGCGCCCACGGTATTTGCGACGTTTTCGAAGCCCTAGAGTTCCGCGCCCACGGTATTTGCGACGTTTTCGAAGCCCCAGAGTTCCGCGCCCACGGTATTTGCGACGTTTTCGAAGCCCCAGAGTTTCGCGCCCGCGCCCACGGTGTTTGCGAGGTTTTCGAAGCCCCGGAGTTCCGCGCCCACGGTATTTGCTAGGTTTTCGAAGCCCCAGAGTTCCGCGCCCACGGTATTTGCGACGTTTTCGAAGCACTAGAGTTCCGACACGCACGATCCCCGCAGAGTGGTGCATCGCGCTGGCCGCGGCGAAACCCACCCCAGCTTAAGAAATAAGAGAGAATTTAATAGAGGAGGTGATGTGTGGAGTGTGGTGATTGGAGTGTGGTGATGGTAGTGCGGTGATTGTAGTGTGTGTGTGTGTGTGGTAGGAGTGTGGTGATGGTAGTGTGGTGATTGTAGTGTGGTGATGGTAGTGTGAGTGTGTGGTAGTGCGAGTGTGTGGTAGTGTGGTAGGGCTAACGTTTTTGTTTCTCCGAAGAACCCTTCGCTGAAGCTTTCGGGAAAAGTCGACTTTCGCGCCACGGCAGCTCCGGGCGTCCGCGGCGTACTACGTTTGTACTACAAAAAGTCGACTTTCCAGCTACGGCAGCTCCGGGCGTCCGCGGCGTACTACGTTTGTACTACAAAAAGCCGACTTTCCAGCCACAGCAGCTCCGGGCGTCCGCGGACTCAAAAAGTCGACTTTCCAGCTACGGCAGCTCCTGGCGTCCGCGGCGTACTACGTTTGTACTACAAAAAGTCGACTTTCCAGCTACGGCAGCTCCGGGCGTCCGCGGCGTACTACATTTGTGAGGAAGGCTCCGACACGCACGATCCCCGCAGAGGGTGCACGACCACGCTTCAAAATACGCAAAAACGCACAGCGGCAGCGCTCCGACACGCACGATCCCCGCAGAGGGTGTGCGAAGCAAGTTGTAAAATGTGCGAAAACGCACAGCGGGAGCGCTCCGACACGCACGATCCCCGCAGAGGGTGTACGAAGCAAGTTGTAACATGCGCAAAAACGCACAGCGGGAGCGCTCCGACACGCACGATCCCCGCAGAGGGTGCGCAGGCACAAATCCACATGCGCAAAAACGCACAGCGGGAGCGCTCCGACACGCACGATCCCCGCAGAGGGTGCGCGGGGACAAATCCACATGCGCAAAAACGCACAGCGGGAGCGCTCCGACACGCACGATCCCCGCAGAGGGTGCGCGGGGACAAATCCACATGCGCAAAAACGCACAGCGGGAGCGCTCCGACACGCACGATCCCCGCAGAGGGGTGCATCGCGCTAGCCGCGGCGAAACCCACCCCAGCCTAAGAAATAAGAGAGAATTTAATAGAGGAGGTGATGTGATGGTACTGTGGTGATGGTAGTGTGATGATGGTAGTGGTGATTGGAGTGTGGTGATGGTAGTGTGGTGATGGTAGTGGTGATTGGAGTGTGGTGATGGTAGTGTGGTGATTGTAGTGTGGTGATGCTAGTGTAGTGTGGTAGGGCTAACGTTTTTTTTCCGAAGAACCCTTCGCTGAAGCTTTCGGGAACAATGCAGAAAGAAAATAGATGACCTACAGTACCGTGTTTCTGGTGTTCCTTGGTCCCTAAATGGTTCCAGAAGGGTTTTGCCATGCTTTGCCCAAAGCCGCCGGGGACTGGGGCATAGTTGGCTACCTTCACGCGCTTTTGCCAATGCCATGGCTATGTCAATGCCGGAGCCTGGCCTGAGACCAGCGCAACATCTCGTCCTGACGACATGTTGGTGTCTTCCACTTCGGCACACCCTGGCTTCAGCCTTAAGAGGACAAACAAACGTTGTAGTTGCAACTTGCCTCAGGAACCGCGCTCAAAGGTCGACTGGCCAAGTTGCCTGCGTGATGCCACTTTCCACGGAGAAGGGCTGGGGTGGGAACAGGGGCCAAGGAGGGACCAAAACTCGGGTGCGGGGGGAGGGGGGTTAACAACCACATGACGATGTCCAAATAAGACGACGTCAGGTCGTGCAATGTCTATGTCTGGGATGTCAAAATTTTCGGGTTGAGGACGACTAAACTTACGGCTTCATGTGTCGTTCAATTCCGTGACAACTTTAGACCCTAACCCCAACGACCAAGAGCAGTGCAAGCCAAAAAAAAAAAACCAAGACCCTTACCCCAACAAACGACGAAGAGCCATGCAAGCCCCAAAATCCCTGAACCTAAGCCCAAAACCCTTCATCCTTAGCAACATCAATCGATCTTACAAAACCTCGCAGGGTCGTCCCACTGCCCACACACAGCTTGGTGCCTGCAGCCTCCCGTGTCGCCTGCACGGTGTCCCAAAGTACCAGAAGTACCACTGCCCATCACTCAAAGATGTTGAGAGACGTATGAAAAGTGAACCAAGGCGCTGCCCCACGAAATGCGCGATTCGAGGATGTTTCTCGTGCGCTCATGCAACCAGACCTGACTTCATGGGCGACGGCGTGTGTGTCACAGCTGCAATGGATGGTGCATAGGCCGCTGCGCATGAACCGAACGGTCCGTAATGTGCGAGTAATTGCTCTCGGACCTGGTCATTCAAGTTGAAAATGTGGAAAGCAGAGGCAAAAGCAAAATAGCTTGCCCCTCAACTCCCCAGGAGTAGGACTTAGGTTTCCGTTTGGCCTACCCTGCACAGCCGCCAGACCGCCTCTCTTGTTTTTGAGGGGCAAAGTCGATGAAACCATGAAGATTGAAACCAGCTTGTCCTCTCAACCCAAATCAACAAGGGCGGCCCGGGCCGGCGACACAACACCTTAACAATCATGTGTACCTCCAACACGTGTGGTTTTCCCTGTTGCTGAACTAATGGAGACTAGAAATGGAGACTAGAATCCAGCTGCAGTACTCAGCGTCATCTCTGATGGTTTTCGATGTTGTAAAAGATCCCTCACAGCTTCTACGCTGCGGCTCCGCACATGGATTCTGGCAGTTGTTTGGAGCAGCCCTTTCGTTCAAGCTGTTCATTTCTCCGTAGAAGCAAGAGCAACACATAACGACCGTGAACATGCAATGCGCTTGCGGTTGCCTGCTGCTCCCGGCAAGCCTCGCCTCGACCTGACAATCTCTACTTGGATTTTCATGGTACTTCATAATTAACCCAATTACAAGTGGGTTACAAGTACGGCTAAAATTGGGTTATAAGTACCATGAACCTCCACCTGAGCATTGTGCAGAAAGCGAACATGCATGAACACATTCAGGCACAGTAAGGTTGCCCACCCTCCGTCGAAGGCGGCCAAGGTTGGACTCTGAAGCACGCCCGCTTGCCAAGAAGAGCTGGATCTCTTCCTTTTCTCGTTAGGACAGCATCGAAATCAGGGTGCGCTCTGCATCAAGCTTGCAAATGTTCCTCCACAGCTGCCGGCCGCGGAGATGACAACCCTGGGGCCCAGGAGCTCCCAACTTCAGCTGGTTTCTGCGACACAACATCCACTTGACTGCAGAAAAGATCTGTCAAAGTGGCTTGGCCTAGTAGGCGATCGAAGTCTTCAAGAAGAATCCCTTGCAGTTCCTTGCCGTAGGACCAAAAAGCAATAGGACCAAAAAGCCATTCACTGTGCGCAACTGCCGGCCATTGTTGGTGTGAAGCCGTCCTGCTTTTTCGGCTCCGCGATGCTGCCTGGCAAACAGACACTAATTTGTTGGATTCTGTTCGAAGCCTCTGACCACAGGTTTGAAAGCGACGATTTCCCGAAGAATCCCGAAGACACTGGCCGTGGCAAGAGTGTGGCAAGCATGAACAACAAGACCGGGCCTGTTCCATTCTGCAATAACCACGCAGCGGCCAGTTGGCATGCCATTTGGCAGAACCACGGCAAGCAATGCGCTTCTTCGGTCACGAAAGACTGAACTACAGAAAGCCTAACTCTTCTTCCGAACTGTTTGGAACAATTGCCTAGGACTGTCTGACACATGGCTCTCAGGACCTTGAGACGCGACACACTCGAAGCGATGGCAGCCTCATGGCCTGACCTTCATGATTTTTGGTTTTCACAGTCTGCAAGATGATTAAGTGAATACACGACATCACAAGGCTGGCCGTGCCTACCTACGGTTTCTGAAATATGGCTCGCTGAGAGAAATCCCCCAATCAGCAGCCTTGACGTAGCAGCCATACGGTAGCATGCGCCTTTGGAATTTTGGATTGTCGCTAAGGCTCTGGTTCTGACCAAGGCTAGAAGAGCGCCTTCTTCCGGAATTTCTAGCATGCCGCAGACAGGGGGGATGCTTACGGGCACAGTAGGAAATGTTCTGGCGATGAAAAAGGTAGTCACAGTCGTTGGTGTGATCGCCGCACAGGCCCGAAACTCCATAGTTTGTCGCCCTCGATTGAACACTCGTCGCACACGTACACGCAAGGCCACTGTACTACAACGCCACACAAGAGTCTATAATAGCATAATCAGTAAAAGGTTACCCAAAACAATAGCAGTGATATACTGGTACTAGAGTTACTAGAAACATTGATGAGAACAAGAGGAGGAATACTGACAACAATAACAACATAGAAAATGATGACAACATTTCCAGAAACATAATGATAATAACACTAACCAAGACATGAGACTGGTGGCAACCGATGCTTTGACGCTGCTGTGTCGCGATGAGGGCTGCCGCGAACCGCGCACCTGCGGCCGCCTCGAAAGTGGCGGTTTAGGGTTTTGGGTTTCTTTGGGGGAATTAGGGTTCCCATGGTGCATAACCGGGAAGCCGAAAGGATCTTCGTGCTTGTTGGCAAATGCACCAGGTTAGATGAGCGATGGCAGCAAGTCATGATCCATCGGCCGTGTGCCGCAGGCTGCGGTTGAGGAGGGTTTAGAGTTTAGGGTTCAGGGTTTAGGTTTTGTAGGACACTACTAACACAACCGTCAGGACCGCCGAGACGTGCCACAGCACGGGACATCGACTGGGGTGCGGGGCGGGGGACTTCCGTCTCTGTGCCGGCAGGGCTGCATGAATAGCTTGTGGATGATTCTGGATGACCTAAACGCAGGAACTATCGAAGCCCGTACCTCAAGTCGACTAATTACCACAAACAATCAACGCAGACTTTCGATCAAACTATACAGCAATACCAATGCGAATACGAAAATAACAGCCCGCCTATTGCACTTTCAGATTGCTTTCGAGGTTCGCGGGAGGGGAAGGCTTATGGGCCCCTCGGCATTGCCCGAAGCACGGCGGTCCAGAATCCAAAGAAACCTGGCAGCAACGTTCCAGGGCCATGTACAACACCTCAACTGAGCGAAATCCCCCCCCCCCACACTTGTCTCCCTAATTCCTGATAAATCTGAAAATTCCAAGCAGTAGAGAAGAGCACTCTCAATCCTAAACCCTAAATATCCTCAAACCGAAACCCGAAACCCTGAAGGCCCTAAACCCTAAACCCTAAACCCTTGTCAAAACCTCAAAGCTCTCGCAAAGCCCAGATGTCTCTCAAACTGAAAGCACTTCCGAGGCGCCGACAGCTGGGCAGGGCAGTGGCTCGGAGCCGTCGCCCGGGTGGCTGGGCTTCAGAGGGTTTGGAGCCAGAAGGTGACCAGACGTAGGGTTTAGAGTTTTTTGCCTTTTTGCCACCCGCCAAGCAGCCAAAGCAACTGCAGGGGAAACGTTTCGGGACGAAAGACTACTTCAGGAGCGGGGTAAACTGCAAGTACGTAATAAGCAGGAGCAAGAGCCAAAACTACAGGCAACCAACTAGTAATAAGCGTCACCAACGATACACACACAGGACTCAGTCTCCCAGGTCTACTCACAGGGCAATTTGAGGCCGGGATAGGCCGAGGCAAGGGGGCCTGACTTTAGGAGGAGACACACCTCTCCTCTAGACTCTAGCTAATAACCAAAAGCAGGAAAATCTCCTGTCCCTCCTTGGTTGACCTCAAAATTCATACTTCAAACTCCAAATCCTCTTGCCGATCGCCCTTCTCCATGCGTGTGGGGTTAAAGGTTTGAGTTTAGAAAAGCTCCTTTTTCAGCCACGTTCCTTGGCATCGTTGAGATCGCTGGGCTGGGGATCTGAGCTACGACGGGGCGCACACGCTGCTTCGATACTCAGGGAATCCGGGCCCTCGATCTGGAGACTTTCTGTGTCAGGCTTCGGACTTAAAAATCTAGGAATTTCACGAGTGCAACCTCTAGATACTTTAGATCCTCCAGAAGAGAGTGGAATTCTGGGGTTACACGTGCACTACGCTCACGGTAGGAGGTCCTCCAACCTCCGGCACAGAGCTGCAGAGCCGGCTGCCTCAGCCTCTCATCCAAGCATTGGCTCATATTGGCTCTGTGAGCTCCCAGAGGCGTTGCACGAAAGATCACGAATGAATAAATGTTTTTCTTGCGGTTAGCTTCGCCGCACCACTCCCACCACATGCATGGCATCCCTTCAGGGGCAAGCCAGTGCCGAAAACAGCACGCCCCGGGAAAAAAAAAAAAAAAAACTACATGGAACAGATCCGCCTCGCCGACCTTCGCGAGAAAAACACGAGAATCTTGTTTCTCAGTGCGAGCGCAAGTCCTTCCGAAAACCCTCTTGAAATTTCGGTGGAATTTTGCAAGAAGGGAATCTCCTCTTAAAAAGCTTCGCGCGGTTCTCATGTCAAATTTGCCGAATACCATCTTCAAATGATCCTTGCACGCACCCCATTCGCAAGCATAACTTCGGGTTCCAGAACGTCGCGGACCCAATTTGTGCGCAAAAGTTCGCGCACCAAACTTCGCATGGCAAACTACTTCACGTACGAACTTCACACGCACATATCACAGCTGCAATCTTCGGCTTGGGTTGCTACAGAAACTACGGCATTCCGGTTGAGTTTGGGCATGGCCACGTTGCGCAGGGCACTTAAAATAGTCTGCAACGCGACAATGGAAGCAAACGTCTTTCGCATGGAATCTCAACACAACAGGAAGTTGACGGGCACAAAACACTGAACACATGTTAAATTCTGCTACTGCTTTGCCAATTTTCGCTCTGCGATGAAAGCAAGCATGTTCACCCGGCCAAGGGAACCCCACGAACCCGCGAAGCATCACACAAAGGTTTGGAAAGTGTCTGTGAGATTTCAATTTTGGCCCAAGCCCCCACCCAAAGCTATAACGATCAGCTCGGAGTGATAGGCCCAAACACTAATGACATGCACTCAGCAAAAAGGTGTGCAAGCAATGGAGTTCCCCATCAACTCCGACCTTGCTGAGCTTGTCATCTAGGACCTCTTGCCGCTGCCACAACAGGTCAAGCATGTTTGTGACATAGTCACCTCCGACCTCAGCATTCATGTCGCGTTGGGAAAAACAGGTTAGCGGCTGACCAATGGATGCAACACAGTAAACGCGGGTCTTTGGTGGAATCCAACCCGCGGCACTACGCGGTCAGCTTGTTTTTAATAGGATGTTCACTTTTCTTCACCTCTTCCTTTATGGGTCCGGTTCCCTTGTAAAACCGCCATCAATCAATTGACCTTCAAGGCCATTGGGACCTCTTTTTTTGCTTAAGTGACTGGTGATGCTCACCATTTGCCTCAGCATCGAAGCCATCCGAGACTTTGTGGCCATTGGCAGCTTTCCCGTGGCCATCGGCAAATTTGCCAATGGCCATGGCTTTTTTGCCAATGGCCACAGCTTTTTTGGCAACGGTTTTTTGCCGTTCCCCATTAAGGTTGGGGCCGTGGCCATTGGCAAGTGGCCGAGCGGCCCAAAAGCCGTGGCCATTGGCAAAAGGGTTTGTTGCCAATGGCCACGGCTTTTTTGCCAACGGCCACGGCTTTTTTGCCAATGGCCACGGGTTTTTGGCCACTCGGCCACGCTTTTTTGCCAGTGGCCACGTTCGGGGATTCGGGGGTTTTTGTGCGAATTGGGTACGAAAACCCATTTTGGCGACCAACCTCAATGACATTGGCGGCCATCAGCAAAAAGCGGGGGGCCCGCGCTCGCGGGGGGGTCAGGGGGGGCCAGAAACCAGGCCGGGCAAGGACAGCGTGGGGGGCCGGCTCCAGGCACCCTAGAAAAGGGTGGGTACGGCCTGGCTTTAGGTTTAGGGTTTGGGGTTTAGGCTCTCTCTCTCTCTCTCTCTCTCTCTCTCTCTCTCTCTCTCTCTGCCGCGCCATCCCCTAGGGTCTTGCTACAGGCTGGACGCCAGAAGGGTTTTTTTGATAGCCGATGCCAAGCCAGCAGTAACTGCCAGGCAAGAACCATAGATTCCCTCTCAGGGCACTGCAATCATCGGTCGCTCGGGCCTGGGCTTTTGCGTTGCGCTACGAGCGGTGCGCACCACTAAAGCGGCAGCTGAGCATGCGACGTGCGCACTTCCACCTCAGGTCGAGTTTCTGAGATTTGAATGGCCGCGTAGCCTGTTTATATCAACGCGTAATGCCTGACCTTAGCATCATGTCTCCACGTCGACAAACAGCAGACTTTAGCAGGAGGCGACAGTAAGGCTCCGACAATCATAGGCTCATCAAACGACGCCGGGATCTGTGGCCACAGGGTTTGGATGAGCTACTCGAGGTCTACTCAACACTCAGCGAGGCCGCACGCCAGCGGTCGTATGCTATACATGTCGGATGCCAGGTTTGGTCGACACAAGTTCTGCAGCTCAAATCGGACCAAGGTGGTTCAACTTCCAGGCCTGCTGTGAAGGGCCCAGCCAAATGGTCTGGCCAGAAGAGAACACATGGAAGGCAGCTCACCACACAGAGCACTTCTCGAAAGTTGTGACTCCGCTTCCGGGCATCGGTGGCCTAGTATCTTCGTGACCCGAACAAACGGACAATCCCAAAAAGCAGTGCAGGTACAAAGCGGCCTCAACAGTAGGAGGTTGATGGTCTGACCTTCAGGGGAAGCTCACGGACTTGAAGCCCAGTCTGCTAGTACCAGTCTCAGAACACATTACTAGTAGTCTACTGACCGAGTCGCC